GTAGTGATACCACCTCGGAAACCCAAAGAGGGGTCACTATGAGTCGGGTCCAACTCAATGGCACATAACAACAACGACAACAAGAAGTCTGCTTCTATTTTATCTTTGATGAACTTTATAGTTTTGGGTTTTACGTTTAGGTCTTTGATCCATCTTGAGTTCGTTTTTGTGTATGGTGTGAGGTGTGCATCTTCTTTCAGTTTTCTGCAAATGGAAATGCAGTTTTGCCAGCACCATTTATTAAAGAGATAATTTCTTCCCCATTGAAGTTAAAAAGTTATTAGGAATTATTTTCATTAAGCTATGAAATATCCTTGTGAGATGCCCTTTTTGACTCTAGGTTTATTGTTACCTATAGATTTTTGCTCCATTGATGGAATCAGATGGTTTTCTTTGCTTGAGACTTTGGTGATTTCCTTATACATTATTATTCTCCAGGCCGTTGTGAATACCATGATCAATATCACTTTTTTTTTTTTAAAAATCAAAATGTAACCTATCAATTTTTTCTTAAGTTATAGAAATATATACTTGTATCATTTAAAATTTGGAAATATAGAAAAATGTTTTAACACTTGTCATTAAATGATTACCATTCATTAAGTCTAATGTACTTTCAGAAGGTATAAACTTAGAAATTATAGCTTACTTTTTATCTCAGTTTGGATGCTTCCTGATGTTACCTCATTCCCATTTTAATAATGTCTCCTAGTGACACTTTCAAACATTGGCACACTCTATTGGAACGTAGGCAGGTATTTTGATTTTCTGGTCTGTTTCATCTTTCCCTATATCTAACTTTATTTTGGCATCTACATTTTTATCTTTGGAAGAAGAATAGCTTTAGAATGCCATTTAGGTTGGTAACATGTATTTGAATAGACTGAAATCCCCTGTAAATCTTGCTATGTGTCCATGGTTTTAGTTACAAATGAAAATAAGTCATTTGAAGAGTTCTATGACCATGGTGTAATTTTTTCAAATACTTTCAATGAATTGCTATTTATTTCTAGTTTAAATTTTTGAAGAGCTAGGTAAATGAAACTGATAAAAGACCTGAAGTCTTGCTTAGTGGCAGAGAAAGTTGTCAAAGATGATTTAGGTCTAAATCAAAACTATAGAATCTTTTAAATCTATCAGTCTGTTATATTATTGATATTGATTAAGACTAATTGCATTTTTTCTTCTCAATTTTACAGAGTTAATTAAGAGCTGGAGACAATCTTGCTGAAGATGAAGGATATAAAATATTAGAAGAAGAATTTTTTTTTTTCTTTTTTCTTTTCAAAAGTCTTGGTTGTTTGGTGACTTGTCTCTAGTTACCACTTTTCAATTGAATCTATTCACTTCATCAGAAATGTTTTTTACAATCTCAAGAAAAAATATGTCCCAGAAATTGAGTTTACTTTTGCTTGTATTTGGACTCATTTGGGGATTGATGTTACTGCACTATACTTTCCAGCAACCAAGACATCAAAGCAGTGTCAAGTTACGTGAGCAAATACTAGATTTAAGCAAAAGATACGTTAAAGCTCTAGCAGAGGAAAATAAGAACACAGTGGATGTCGAGAATGGTGCTTCCATGGCAGGATACGGTAAGGTAACAATAGAATGTTTCCAGTCTTTTCTAACCTGTCCCCATTTAAAAATAATCATGAAAATTGAATTCATTGCTTATGTATAGGTCTTTACACAAATCATTTTTTCTATTATGAAAATTGTGGAGTAGTGCCTAAGACACTTGACTGCTAACCAGAAGGTTGGCAGTTCAAACCCACCAGCCACTCCTTGGAAGGAAGATTGGCAATCTATTTTTGCAGAGATATTGCCTTGGAAACCCAAAGAGGGGTCGCTATGAGTCAGAGATGACTTGATGGCACATAACAACAACAACAACATTGAGAAATAGTATGATAAATACCTGTATAAAATATCTATCGTCATTATTCAATTGTAATTTGTGTCTGAGTGGGAGACAACAACAGTCCCCATAAGACACAACTACACCCAC